TACCACGAGCGGCGAGGCGGACATTTACCAACACAGGCACGTCTTCGAGCATTTCAAGGAACGCGGTGCCCACCCGCCGCCGCTGCCTGCTTCTCTCAGGTGGCGTATTCCAACTGTACTGGAGTCGCTCTCGGTGCCGCAGGTCGAGCTCACGACCGATGATAAGGGATCGTTTCCATCGACAGCTTCAGCCCGTGGTCCCGAGCTACTTGCAACTATGTTGCGGGGGCCTTGGGGAACGCAGGCGGGTAAGAACATGGCAAATCATGGATATTAAGTGGACTGCTGGACAACCATGATGTCCTCCAAGGGGCAGTGGACCAGGTGTGGGACCACCTGTCTATAACCTCCTGGTGCGCGACGCATCGCCACGCCCGCCGACCCCCTTCAGACTGGCAGGATGAGATCCCGGTGCGCGCTCCTCTGGGCGATGGTGCAGCTGGCGGTGATCGCTGCAGTGACGACGCGGCGCGCGAGGGGTATTCTCCCAAGTGCGTCGTGGTGCGTTCCGAGTGTGGCGACGGCCGCGACGACGCGACAGAGGACAATGTTCAATGCGCTGACGAAAACGGGCACACTTAGGGCAGGGGCCCAAGGCAGCTCCGAGCCTTATGGTCCGAGCAGCGCCGTCGGTGTGCTCCTGGCCTTCAGCGCCTCCTTGAGCTATTGAGGAATTTCCACTCCGGATGGGAGGCTGTCGGAATGGGCGTGCTTGCCTTGGCCAGCTGTCTCACTGGCATGGGCATATGGGGCGGCAGCGGCAGCATGCGACACCTCTGCGCCTGTTGGCCCAGGCAACGATCTCAGGTTCCCTTCCAACGACGGGTGCGGGAGGTGCTGATATGGTCAGGTGCGAACTCGGACCTCGACGATGTCCGCCGGGCGGTCTACTTCTTATCTTCTTATCTCGTCTCACTGGCAGCGCCCGAGACTGCGTTGACGAGTGGCCGCCAGCTGTCCTCGTGCGGGGAGGTGCCATCGTTGACGGCCCAGTCCCCCCGATGACACTCTTGATGCGCAGTTTGTCCAAACGTTGGGCCAACTGGGCGGGGGGCAGGGCGCCTGGCAGTTTCGGCGCTTATGAATTTCAATCGGCTGCCAGAAGAGCGCGTGGATGACGTCCTCGCACGTCTCGACATCCCCCGCGACCGACCCTGGCCAGCTGGTGAACTCGCGATCGGCTGCGAGGGTCTCAGCTTCCTCTTCTTGCGCGCGGTGGAAGCGTCGAGCGCGCAGCTGGCCGTGCTCTTGCAGCGCTGCAACGTGGCGTGCCCGACCAGCGCAGCGCAACTCGCGCATCTGACGGGTCATCTGCGGCGCTCTGGGTGCATGATCGAGGCATCGCCGGGCAATCTCGGCCCAGCGGTGCACTCGTCCCAACGGCAACTTTTCCTCGCGGGTGCGACCGCGCAAGATCAGCCTCGGAGTGTCTATGCAGCTGTTGCCGGATCGAGCCGGGGTGGCCCGGGTCCATCGGCGCCGGGGTCGGCGCCGAGCCCGCCCGCAGCAGCGCCGCCAGCGCGGGGGGCCTGTCCTGGCATCTGCCATCGAGTCAGGCGCCGACGCCGGCACCATCGTCCCATTCGGCGAAGGGGCAGCGAGGACAGCGAGGCGCGCGCCTGTCCTTGGCTTGCGAGCGCGCCGGAGCACGATGTCGACGCTTCAGCAACCGCAACCCGAGGGCCATGGAGAGGAAGGGTAAGGGCCGCGGCAAGGGTTGCCGCGACTTCCTGGCCGACTTGTCCGAAAATGACTTCCGAGCGACATTCGCGGCCTTGGGGGAGGGCGAGGGTGGCCGCGATGATACAGCATTCCGCCCCTTAACACCTGCGTCGCGATTATCCGTGGGGCCCTTCTATGCGGGCGGAGCGGCGAGGCCGAGTTTTCTTGCCGCCATGGGAGGCACGAGTCGTTCATTAAATCATTCTACCAGCACCCTTTGTTATCATCCTCAGCGTCTTTCGTGATCACCATTGCTTTCTCGTAAAGCCCCAGTTGGCGCGCCCCTCGCTCGGGTCGTGGCCCCATGTGGTGCCGTATTGTTTTGCCTGCTATATCGCGGTGTGCATGGGGGCTCCTCTCCCCCCCTTACTCCTTTTTCCGCGCGGCAGCTGAACGCGTTCATCGCCGCCGTTGATCATCGCTCCCAAAGGGCATCCACGAGTGATCCTACTGCGATAGGTCCGAAGCTGTGATTTCTTTTTGAAATCGCGCCCTCGTCCTCCTCCCTCTCCTCGTCGTCGCCCTCCCCCTTCTTTGCCTTTTCCGGCCCTCCTTCTCGTCCTTTTCTTGAATTTGTTTCCCTCATATGCCTTGTCTTCTCTGTCCCCCCCTGTCCTTCCCCCTTCCGCGCCCTTGTTGAACTCTGGCTTCGCCATCGCTGTTTATCGGCCCCAAGTTGCAGCCGCGAGCACTCCTGCGCGACGAGCAGAGGACCGCCATGGGAATCGAGTGTAAGTCTCACCCCGTCCAGGGGGAGCCCCGTCAAAGCAGTGGATCGGGAGATTTGCGCCCCCGTCGCTTCAGTGTTTGCCCCCCCCCTTCCGCGCGCGCCTCCGTCGCCGTCTAGTTTCGAAGTGAACCGCTCTTCGCTGGAGGAGCGTGGCAAAGTGCGCTGTAAAACATTATGTTTCCCAGCCATCCTGTGGAGTTGGGTCCTCGTTTTGAAGAGACGGTCCCCGCGTTCTCCCCTCCTCCTCCTCTGCCCCCTCCGCCTCTCCACCGTCTGCGTGCGTCCCGCACACCCAGTACAGCGTTTCGAGGTCCCATAAGGGGCTCCACCGAAGGTCCCACTGCTACCGTCCGCATGCGTCCCGCACACCCAGTACAGCGTTTCGTGGCCCTCCTCCCCCTCCTCCCTGCGTTTCACCCACCCAGTACAACGCTTCGTGGTCCCATAGGGAACCCCACCGAAGGTCCCAGTGCTGCCGTCCGCATGCGTCCCGCACGCCCAGTACAGCGTTTCGTGGCCCCATAGGGAAGTGTACCGAAGGTCCCAGTGTTACCGTCCGCACGCGCCCCGCACACCCAGTACAGCGTTTCGTGGCCGTCCCCCTCTCCCTGCGTTTCGCCCACCCAGTACAGCGTTTCGTGGCCCCATAGGGAACCCCACCGAAGCCCCCAGTGCTACCGTCCGCATGCGTCCCGCACGCCAGTGCTACCGTCCGCATGCGTCCCGCACATCCAGTACAGCGTTTCGTGCCCCCCTCCCACTTTTCCCTGCGTTTCACCCACCCAGTACAGCGCTTCGTGGCCCCATGGAGAGCCCCAGTGAAGGTCTTAATGCTACCGTTTGCATGCGTCCCGCACACCCAGTACAGCGCTTCGTGGCCCCATAAAGGGGGCCCCACCGAAAGTCCCAGTGCTACCTTCCGCATGCGTCCCGCACATCCAGTACAGCGTTTCGTGGCCCTCCTCCCCCTCTTCCCTGCGTTTCACCCACCCAGTACAGCGTTTCGTGGCCCCATAGGGAACCCCACCGAAGGTCCCAATGCTACCATCCGCATGCGTCCCACACACCCAGTCCAGCGTTTCGTGGCTCCATAGGGAGCTCCACCGAAGGTCTCAGTGCTACCGTCCGCATGCGCCCCGCACACCCATCACAGCGTTTCGTGGCCCTCCTCCTCCTTTTCCTTGCGCTTCACCCACCCAGTACAGCGCTTCGTGGCCCCATAGGGAACCCCACCGAGGGTCCCAGTGCTACCGTCCGCATGCGTCCCGCACGCTGAGTACAGCGCTTCGTGGCCCCATAGGGAGCTCCACCGAAGGTCCCAGTGCTACCGTCCGCATGCGTCCCGCACACCCAGTACAGCGTTTCGTGGCCCTCCTCCCCCTCCTCCCTGCGTTTCGCCCACCCAGTACAACGCTTCGTGGTCCCATAGGGAACCCCACCGAAGGTCCCAGTGCTGCCGTCCGCATGCGTCCCGCACGCCCAGTACAGCGTTTCGTTGCCCCATAAAGGGGGCCCCACCGAAGGTCCGAGTGCTACCGTCCGCATGCGTCCCGCACACCCAGTACAGCGTTTCGTGGCGCCAGGGAGCTCCACCGAAGGCGCCAGTGCCCCCGTCCGCATGCGCCCCGGGAGCCCAATTTTGCATTTTCACTCACCCAGTGCAGCGTTTTGTGGCCCCATAAGGGGGCTCCACCCAAGGCCCCAGTGCCACCGTCTGTATGCGTCTGGGAAATGTAATTTGGCAATATTACCCGCGCAGTGCAGGGTTTCGTGGCCCCATAGGGCGCTCCACCGAAACCCCCAGTGGGACCGTCCGCGTGCGTCCCGGAAGCCCAATCTGGCATTTTCACTCACTCAGTAGAGCGCTTCGTGGCCTCATAGGGAGCTCCACCGATGCCTTCAGTGGGACCGTCCGCGTGCGTCCCGGAAACCCAAGTTGGCACACCACCCACACAGTACAGCGTTCCCCCCGCCCAGAGCAGCGCTTCGTGGCCCCATAGGGAACTTCACCGAAACAAATATTCACAACTACGGTACCCACAACTGCATATGGTTGGGATCTTCGCCAGGATAATTTCAAGTCTTACTTGCGCCATCCATTCTTGATGTTGTTCTTGTTCTTCCCCTTTTGCCTGGGTATCTTCCAGGTTTGTCGGCTGGCGCGACGAGTCTGGTAGCGGAGCGTCGGAAACGGCGCTCCGCGGCCGCGCGCCTACGAGTGCCGCTGCGACTGCGACTGCCTCTTGCGGGTCTGCGGGGGCGGGCAGGAAACGCCGGGCGCGCGCGCGCTCGTTGGATAACGAGGCGCGTCGAGCAACCCGGCGGCTGGGGGTGGGGCGCGAAAGGGCGACTCGCGCCTGCTTGCGTCCACCGTGGGATCCTCGCAGCGAGGCTTGCCGACGGTCGGTGCGACTTCGCGGCGTCTCTCTCATGTCCCTCGAGACCGAGGTGGAGGAGCAGCCAGCCCAAGAGGAGCTGGGCTGACTTCCGGACGAGAAGCTGGACGACGAGCCAAAGGTGGAGCTGGGGCCCCGCGCAGGCGCGGGCGATGCCCTGCGCCTCCGCCTGGCAATCTGGCCGGCGACTTGCAGCGCCGGCCATGGCGGCAGGCAGCGGCTGCAGCCGCGGCGCGCTTGCGCGGCGCCAGCCGCGCATCTTCGGCGCGGCCCCCCATCGCTACAGACAGGGCGCATCCGTGGCGTCTGCCGAGACGCCGCCGTGGTGGATCCCAGAATTGGCGCGCGACGCGGCGTGCCCGTGCATCATCGGGGAATGGGCGCGGGGCGTTTGGAGCTGGGCGGTGGCCGCCGAGCTGGGCGTCGAGCGCTGTGGGCCGATGCCCCCCTTCGGCCGGCGCGGACCATCGTCCGCGAAGTCGCGGCGGGGGCCCTGCAGCGCGGCGCCGTGGTGGGCTTCGGAGGCGGCCGGGGCGCCGTGGCGAAGTCGAGTGTGGACGTTTTCTCGGCAGTGCTGCTGGCCGAGCTTCCTCCTGACCCAGAGGCGCAGATGCGTCGCGCTGGGCTGGAGTTCCTAAAGTTCGCGCCCATCCGCGACGAGGGCGCGAGGGGCGTGTCCCCGCGGTTCGACTTCCTGCTCGACAGGGCAAACCAGCTCGCGGAGCTGGCGATCTCGGCCCCCTTCCGGACTTGGATGCCCCTTTCGCTCCCGAGCCTGCCGGCGCGCAAGTGGGCGGAGATCCTGCGCGAGTGCGACCGCGGGCCCCCCGGGGCGGAGCAGGAGTGCCAGCCGGTCAAGGCGGGGCTGCTTCGAGGCAGGGCGATCGAGAAGAACGTCTCGCCCTTCGGGCCAGGCGGCGCGAGGGCGCCAGGCGTGTACTTCGCGTGCGCCGACGAGGTCCCGCTTCCGCTGCGACCGGCCACGGCGGCTGGCGGCGCCGACGGTTTCAGCGCCCCGCCTCGCCCAGCGCGCTGCGATCGGATGCGGTCGCAGCAGCGCTGCTGCCCAGGGCGTGTCCTTCGACCTCGGACGGGCAGCAGACGGCGACGCCGACGGCGAGGCGCACTTGTCCACCGACCTAGAGCGGTGGGTGCGCGAGGCCGCCGAGGGCCCCTGGCCGGCCGACCGCCTGGAGGCCGGGCTGTGCGCGTCCGTGGAGTGTCCGCTCTGCCTCGCGCGCGCGTGGTCGGCCGCGCGGGCGGCCGAGCGACGGCGCCGCGCGGCGGCGGGCCGTTTTGCTCCGAAGCGCAAGAGCCGACGGCACCACCTCGGGGCCAAGCGCTACACCGAGCGCGGTCGTCCCCGCGCCGCTGGCGGAGCGCAGAGGCGGAGCTTTTTCGCGGGCCAGACGTTCGTCGGCGTGGGCCGCCTGCTTGAGACGGACGTCGAGGCAGTCTTCGAGGGTCGCCCCCGCGGCTCGCGGGGTCGGACCGGGCGGGGCGTCCTCGTGAAGTGCTACTGGTGTGGCGGGCCAGGCCGCGTGGCGGCCGACTGCCGCAGCCCGGGCAATCTGCCGCGCTTGTGGCAGCTTTGAGGAGAAACAGGAGGGCGAGGAGGGGCCCTTCGCCCTTAGCGCGGAGGAGCAGTGCATGATCAGGGAGGCGCGGGGCGTCGGAGGAGGAGGGGCGCCAGGAAAGCGGGGCGAGACGGCGGCGGACTGCGACGACGAGCATCGCGAGCAAGCAGTCGGCGTTCTCGGACGCAGCCGAGAAGGGTCCGCCGGCGCAGGCCAGACCTAGTGCGCCCGCGGCCGCAGCTCTGAGAAGACAGCCGCGGCCCAGACCTCCGCCCGCAGCTTTGAGAAGACAGCCGCAGCCCAGACCTCCACCCGCAGGTCTGAGAAGGCAGCGGCAGCCCTGGCAGCCGCTCGCGCAGACAGCCCCCGGCAGACTGCGCCGGCGCCGAGAGCTTTCTGGGCGGGGGCGGGGAAGGGGCAGCGTGGTGATCATGATGGCGCTGTTGTTCCCAACCCTGTGGTGTTGGGTCCTTGTTTTGAAAGAACGGTCCCCGCCTTTCTTTCCTCTTCTCCTCCTCCTTCCCCTCCTCCTCTCCGCCGCCCGCGTGCGTTCCCCTCGCGCATTTCGGTGCGTCCCTCGCGCGCTTCGTGGCCCCATGTGGATCTCCGCCGAAGCCGCCAGCGGGGCCGCCCGCGTGCGCCCCCCACGCCCAGTTTGGCATTTTCACCCGCCCAGTGCAGCGCTTCGTGGCCCCATGGGGGGCCCCGCCGAGGTCCCCAGCGGGGCCGCCCGCATGCGTCCCCTACGCCCAATTTGGCACTATCACATACCAAGTGCAACGTTTCGTTGCCCCATAGGGAGCTTCGCCGAATCTCTCAGTGGGACCGCCCGCGTGCGCCCCCCCCCCCCCCCCCTTCCCCGCCCCCCCGCATCCAATTTTGAATTTTCACCCGCCCGGCACAGTGCTCCGTGGCCCCATCGGGGGCTCCACCGAAGCCCCCAGTGGGCCGCCCGCGCGCGCCCCCCACGCTCAATTTGGCATTTTCGCCCACCCAGTACAGCTTCTCGACCCCATAGGGAGCTCCACCGAGGCCCCCAGTGGGGCCGCCCACATGCGCCCCCCACGCGCCAAATTTTGCATAGCCCCCAGTGGGGCCGCATGCGCCTCCCACGTCAAATTTTGTAATTCCACCCACCCAGTACAGCGTTTCATGGTCCCATAGGGGGGCCCACCGAAGCCCCCAGTGGGGCCGCCCGCATGCGCCCCCCGCGCCCAGTTTGGCATTTTCACCCACCTATTACAGCGTTTCGTGGCCCCGTAGGGGGTGCCGCCGAAGCCCCCAGTAGGACTGCCCACATGCGCCCCCCTCGCCAAATTTAGCATTTTCACAAACCCAGTGCGGCGTTTCGTGGCCCAATAGGGAGCCCCACCGAAGCTCCCTGTGGGGGCGCCCGCGTGCGCCCCCCACACCCAATTCGGCATTTTCACACACCCAGTACAGCGTTTCGTTGCCCAATAGGGGGCCCCGCCGAAGCCCCCAGTGGGGCCGCCCGCGTGCGCCCCCCCACACCCGATTCGGCATTTTCACCCACCCAGTACAGCGTTTCGTCGCCCTATAGGGGGCACCGCCGAAGCCGCCGGCGGGGCCGCCCGCGTGCGCCCCCCGCGCCCAATTTGGCATTTTCATTTGCCCTGTACAACGCTTCGCGGCCCCATGGGGGGCTCCACCGGAGCCCCCAGTGGGGCCGCCCGCGCGCGCCCCCCGCACTCGATTTGGGATTGTCACCCACTCATTACAGCGCTCCGTGGCCCCATAGGGAGCTCCACCGAAGCGTCCAGTGGGGCCGCCCGCGTGCGCCCCCCACGCGCCAAAATTTGCATTTTCGTAGATCCAGTACAGCGCTTCGTGGCTCCATAGGGGGCCCCACCGAAGCCCCCGGTGGGGCCGCCCGCGCGCGCCCCCCACGCACAATTTGGCATGTTCACCCGCCTTTCACAACGCGTCGAGGCCCCATGGGGGGCTCCGCCGAAGGCGCCAGCAGGACCGCCCGCGTGCGTCCCACACGCCTAATTTGGTATTTTCACCCACCCAATGCAGCGTTTCGTGGCCTCATAGGGAGCTTCGCCGGCTGCCCCAGTGCTACCGCCCGCGCGCGTTCCCCCCCCGCCCGGCGCAGCGCTTCGTGGCCCCATGGGGAGCTTCACCGAAGAAGATAGTCACAGTTGCGGTACCCACAAGTTCACATGGTTGGGTCCTCCGCCAGGATATTTTTCATGGTCGGGGGCATGGACATATGCCCCGCGGCCAGCTGGCGCAGGACAGCGCCGGAGTGCCGGCGTTGCAGCGGAGGTTTGTGCCCGCGCGGCAGCTGCGGCCCCGGCCGCAGCAGCGGCAGCTAGCCGCAGAACCCTCGTGGGCGCCGCTGGCCCCCGCGGCCCAGCCAGGGGCCGCGCGGCGGCCGCCTGTGTGCAGCGCGAATCAGTGCATGAGCCAAGGTGCCATTATCGCGTGCAGCGGAGACACGGTGCTGGTCCAAGACAGCATCCGCGGGCGCGTGGTTTCGACGCCCGTGGGGAACTTGATGCCGGACGGAGGTGGAGATGGAAATGCTCTCGCCCTTGCGCGCGCGTCGTCTGGGGGCGGCGTCGCGCGTGGAAATGTGCCCTGGACCGGCAGCGGCAGGCATCGAAGTGTGCATGTTGCAGCCTCTTGCGGTCGCAGCGGCAGCCCCCTCGGCGAACTGGGCGCCCCGCGCGCCCGTGACTGCTGACCCGACAGTCGCGGCGGCCGCCAAACCAGCCGCGGCGCCACCGCGGGATGAAGATGTTGCGTGCGTGAATCTGAACAAACTTGTGGCCTCATCACTCCCGTCTTTGCCGGGCCCCCCGCCTGCGACGGCAGTGCCGGCGCCGACGACGCGCGGCAGAGCCTCTCGCTGGCGCAGAGGCCGCGACGCCCAGCAGCGGCGATTGCGACCGCTCGGCACTGGCCCACTTTGCAAGAGCCGACGCAAACAGTTTCCAGCCAGTACTTGGCTTTCCAGCAGCTGGCGGTGCGCGGCGTTTTCGCTCGGCACCATCAGCTTCTTGTTGCGCGGCGCCCCTCGCTGCGCCTGCGTCGTCGGCGCCGCCGCCCCCGCGGCGGCCAGCGACGGGGCCCGCCGATCCGAGAGCCGTTGCAACGGCGGCGCGCGAGGAGAAGTGGCGAGCGCGCTCCGTGCCCGCATTGGGAACGAGGCCGTCGCGGGAAACCTGGCTGCCTCTTCTGCCACCGCCGCTCCCTTGAGACGCCTGCAACTCCGCGGCGGAGTTTGTGCGTTCCCAGGGCCCCAGCCGTGCCTCCTCGGCGGCGGGACAGCGCCGAGGTGGACCCACTGGTGGCAGACGACCCTTGGAAGCAGTGCGACAACCGCCAATTCTGGGTCTTCGAGCGGGGCGAAGATGCGCAGAGCTGCGCGGGGCACCAGAGCGCGCGCAACCGCGGCGAGGCCAAGATCAGCGATGATGGGGGCGGCCTGCCGGTGGGCGCCGGAGCCCGCGGGGGCCTCGCGGGCAGGGGCCTGGTAGACCGACAGTCGTGCACGGCGCAGCGCCGCGGCTAAAAGACCGCCTGGGCGACGCCCGGCCAGCCGAGGCGGATCGGCGGCGTGGGTGTGGGTGTTCAGGTAGCGCGCCGCGCAGCCGCCATCTATGGAGTTCCGGGCGAAGGCGATCTGATCTCCTACGCCGGTGCTGAGGGGTGAGGGTGCTGAAGTCCTTTCTCCCTGCGGTTTGGATTCCATGGCAGCCAGGAACGCGCGCGCGGGCGCGCGCGCGCGCTGGGCGTCTGCGCGTGATTCCCGCGGGCAAAGGCGACGAGATCATCTGGCCGACAGGCGCGCGGGTAATCGATTGCAGCAACGCGCGCTCTGGCCACTGGGTGATTCCGATCTGCTGGTGGCGCAAGTTGAAGAGAAAAGTCGTCGAAGTCACCGAGGCCTTCGTCGTCTCGACTGGAAGGGGGGTCGCCGACTCTTGACCAGCGCCACGCGCGCCGAGCGCGTCGGGCGGCCGGTGCCCGAGGTATCCGACCTCCAGGCAGCCGGCAGCCGAGCGCGTCGGTTCTCGGCGTTGCGGTGGGCGCCGCAGCCCGCGCCCAAGCCACCTACCCCGCTGCCGTCAGCAGCCGTCGCCAGCTTTAACCATGAACCCGCGTGTCCGCTGATACTCCTTGCGGGGGGAAGGTTGGCGACAAAAATAATCACCGCTGGCGAGTGTGATCTTCAGCCGCGCCGATCGCTCCCAATGCTGAACTTCCAGCGTCGCCTGACTTCGCCTGATGCCTGCGCTATGCTTCAAGCTGTCTACCTTGACCGGCCGACCCTGTCTCGGACCCAGTGGCCCAATTTGCTTAAGGTGCCTGGAAAGCGACCGCGCGCCCGCGCAGCTCTGGAGTTCTTCGCCGGCATGGTTGGGGAGCAGCTAAAGCAAGGGGGAGTCGTTGTCCTGGAAGCGAGAGCGTGCGACGTTCCAGTTCGAGGCCTCGCCGGAGGGAGTCGCGATGGCGGCCTCTTGGGGCGCTCTTCTCGCGCGCGCTGGCGCGCGCTGGGCGTCGAGGGAGGCGGGGGCGACGAGGCGGTGGTGTGCGGCGAGCACCTGGTGATGTCGAACACACCCTGGCCAGACGTGCCTCGCGTCTGTCAGCGCCGCAGTTCCAGCTGCTCGGCGAATCGCGGCATTGCCTGCGAGCAGTTCGTGGAAAAGGTCATGCTCCATTTCGACGTGCTCAGCTCCGACGACATGGCGACCTACAGGCCGCGAGTGGCATCGCGCCCGACGACGGTTTCGAGACAAAGCTGGCGCCAGAGTCTACGCGAAGCAACAACGCCCCACAAAGCAACAACAACCATCATAACACATGTCTGTGACCATCACAGGCGCGGAGATCCAGACTTCCCATGTTGATGCCCCTTACTCACAGCCAAGGGAAGAAGTTGCACCGCGTGCAAGGGCAGCGCTGCATGCGACGCATATTACACCGAACGCCGACGCAGCAGACGAAGCAACTTCCACCGACGACCTTGGCCCACTGTCGCGAGCTGCTTACCCGACAGACTCGCGCGACAGACCCCGGAACAATCGCGCGCGCTTAGAACGCGACAGGACGCCCGAAGAGATAAGGACATGCGTGAGCAGAACCGATGGCGTAATACCAGCATATCGACGATTGTGGCAGCGGCGCTGAACCTCTCGTGGGCAACGAAGCCCGGACGGCGCTCCCTATGAGCGATCCGTGCGGCACCGCGTTCTGGTTCGAACAATGCGGCGACTGTGTCAAGGGAGGCTTTGATGCGCATCCTGCGCTGCGGAAGTGGCCACAGGGCAACATTTCTGATTGCGACGGTTGCAGCGGGCGCCAAGCCTGGCGCCGCCCCGTGCGCGCCAGAAGATCGCCCCCCCCCGATTTGCGTCGATGCCGCGACCGGCCCACAGACGCTATTAAGTGCCCCGCTTGCTTGGCCGGGAAAGACTGCCTAGGCCCAGGCCGCCCCGAAGTAGCTGGAGAGTGCTTTGCCCCCGACGCTCGATATCGGGGTGGGCGCGAGCGCCAGGTCGGCGTGTCAGAGACCCGGGAGGCCGAGCGGTGGGCGGGGGCAGAGCGGCGGGGACGCTTGACCGACGACGAGCAGCTTCGCGACCTGGGGCGTCTCGGAGAACTCCTGGCCGGCCCAGCTCCAGTCGCGGGCGGTTTCAATGCGGGGCGTGGCCGTCCGGACTCCTCTGCAAGAGGTGGCGCCGGGCATAGTGATGCGCCTGGCGCGAGCGGCGACGTGCGTGCAAATGCGCGCGCTGCCGCCTCCAGCAGCAGCGCCGGACCTGTGCTCGCGCGAGCTGGCGGGCCATTTCTCGACGCCCCCGAGCAGCCGACCGAGGTCGGCCCCCCCTCGAAGGAGGGGGTGTTCATGCCGGGTGAGCTGGGCGAGCTGTTGGGCCCGAAAGTTCGCAGAACTCGGTCCGACGCCGGGGTTGCGCGCCCAGACAACGCGGGCGCCGAGACGCACGAAGGTGTTGATGGCGAGGGGGACTGGCGAACCGATGACGTTTCGCGCTTGATTTCCAGACTCGAGTCCGACGATGAGAAGCTGAGGAAATAACCATTCAACGAGCGCACATCGGATGGTACCACCTTGCGCCCGCGCGCGTGCAGGCGCTCCCGCGAGCAGCTAGCGCGCCAGCGCGCGCGGTAGGAGAAGTCCTTGGAGTGGTGCAAGGTTGTGATGCCCACAGAAAGTGGCAAGTCCCCGTAACCGCCGCGGTTGCGGCCGCGCGCTTCATCGCGGAGTTTAATCGCGAAGTCCAGATGGAGGTTCCTTCACAGCCTCATCGACAGGCCACAACTCCGGCGAGCCATGATGCACCTCCTTGACGCCTGCGCGCGGTGGTCAGCGAACGGTGTCCTCAAGGACAAGATTGAGATCGCGCTGCGCACTCGCGTCGGTGAGCTCTGGCTGAACGCGGGCGGGCCCATGGGGGCCCTCGCCCAGACGGCCAGACAGGCATGGGAGGCAGAGCTGTGGCGGACTGGGCGGAGGCGAACCGCGTCCAGCTCAAGTGCCGACCACCCAGCTCCAGCGCTTGGATTGCAGAGCGGCGCCAGCACATTCCCTGCAAGAGTTTGCATTCCATTGAGGGTCAGATGCAGAAGGAAGGCATCCATGCTCCTCTGGAGCAGACGCTGGCGACTGTCACGTTCGCCCGCAACGCCCGGTGAAAGCCGACGGGGGCGCGGCGCGCCCAGCAGTGGGCGGCGGGGCGCCGACTCTGCTCCCCACCTTTGATTGTGCCGCGGAGGCGGAGCGTGGCGATCGACTTCTTCGCGGCGAGACGCTGGCCCGCTGTCGAGCCTGAATCATAGAGATCGCTGTCGCCGAGCTCGCGGAGCACGCAGCCGACGGCCGCCTTCGACGAGCAGACCATAATCGATGGGGCTCGCAAAGTTGACGGCTTGTCAACAGGTCGACATCTGGTTCGACCCTTCGCCCGCAGGACGTTGGCGGATGGCGGGGGCCAGCGGTGGTCGAGACGATCCAGCCCGAAAAGAACGTGGTGACGGTGCGTTATCATCAAGGGCATGCAACTCGCACCTACCCCGGTTTGCGAGGCGCTGTGCGCTGAAACTCCTGTGGGCTGACAGGGTAAAACCTGCGTGATGTGCCGCGTCCTGGCGGCTCTCTAGGCTATGGGGTTCCCGGGGGGTTTGCAGACCGCGCGCTCGTGGCCCGCGGTCCTCGCATCAGGGCAGATACCTCGACCGACGTGGCCGAGAGGTGCGGGGGCGCGTGGCCCACCTCATCCTCTTGGTTAGCCAGAGGCAACGCCCCCGCGACGGACGCGGCCCCGGTTGGCATATGACAAAAGCCAGCCAGACGAAGTCGGGATGCGCGGTCTTGGAAGCAGGCCTCTTTGTGGCGCCCGCGGTGGTCCGCATTGCAGACTGCGCCGCTGCGGGGCAGTCGCGGGGGATCTCCTCCGCGCGGCCGCTCTGGAACTGCAGTTGCAGTGGGCCGTGTGTCTGGCGCTCCGAGCTCCGAGGCGGGGGCGAAGACAATCCCCCCATGGTGTTCGACAGCGTGGGCGGCGACCTCGACGCGAGCATCGACGTCGACAGCCCGGTCAGCAACAATCCGGTCACCCACTCCGGGGGGGCTTCTTGGAAGGGCCATTCCGTCGTCCAGTTCTCGGCGGCGAAAACGGAGGGAATCGAAGGCCTGATCAGACGGCGGCCCGGCGCGCTTGGCGGCTGGGAACGGACAGGTAATTAGAAAGGACATCCTTCCATGTTCTCCAATCTCACCCCCTGCCCCGAGCATTTCGCTAGGGGCGCCTAGTGCGCCGCCGCCGACAGGGCCGCGAGCGCAGAGGCCGACGCCGCCAGCACCGACGCCGCCCGCCGCGAGCACCGACGCCAGCTCTAATGCGAACGCCGACGCCAGCGCCGAAGGCGCCGGCACTGGCGCCGACAGTGACCGTTTTCACCCCGCCTCCACCGCCCACGAGGTTTGCTTTGTGTAGGTCCAGGTCGCGAACGACGGATTCGCAGGATGAGAATTCCACCCTGGATGTTGCCACCCAGACGCCCGATCCGCCTCCGCCCCAACCAGGGGGCGGAGCTCGCCGCGACAGAACGACGCTGGTTACAGCTGAACCCACGCGGTCATCACCCCTCGACGTGATCTTGGCGCCGCCGCCGCCGCCGTTGCCGTCGGGGAGAGGAGGAGGTAGTGCGCGGCAGTTGATGACGCTGTCGAGATCTACGCCGGGTGGGGGCGGTCCGAGTCGGACGTCGCCCGACGTCAGATAGCCTCCCGCCCCGCCGCCGCCGCCGCGGGCTCCGCCGGTAGCAGGCAAAGTTGCGATATGGAAAGGTCGCGATCTCCATGGGTATCGGCATCGTTGCCGATCATGGGGGCCACGCGAACCCTTCCGCCACCGCCGGCGCCGCAAGCGCTCCCGCCAGCAACCATAAGTGCAGCCACTCCGCGATCTCGATCATCGTGGTTGCCATCGCCACATGCCCCGATAGAGATGGGGCTGCGAGGTTGGGGCTCGCCGCCGCCTCCCCCGCGACCGCCTGCTCAGACCGTGGCCGCGCGTAGGTTTTGCTCTCCAGCGGGGTCGAAGATGGCGCGCATTTCAGGCGGCGCGACGTCCGCCAGACCACCTGTGCCACTTCCATGGCCAGCGGTGGGGTCCCAGGCAACCGTTTGGAATTTGGTGGGGGGCCCACAACGGAAGGAGGCTCCTGCCCCGCCGCGGCAGGGGGCCGCCCCAGAGAACAGGGGCCGCTTCGCGCGGGGTGCGACCACGAGCAGCGCGGGATCAGTTGCTACCGGAGCCAGGACTCAGGGGCAAGGTGTGGAAACGCCCCCTCCCCCCGCTGCTCCTGCGGCCGCGGTCTCGCGTGCAACTTCCCTGCGCTGTCCGAGCCCAGTGCCGGCTGCAGCGCCCGCCGTTCCATGTGGCGGGGCTCTGCCCTCGGCCGCGCACTTGGACAGAGCAGCTGCCGCTGGGCAGCCTTAGCAGCATCGGCCTTTGCTTCCGACAGCTGAAAATGCCGCGCCCCACCCTGGCACCGTCCAGGGGAAGGTCAGGGGGGGGGGGGAGAGGAGGAAAGCGACCGCGACGAAAACGACCACGAGGCGTGGTTGGTGGAGATCATCGAAGCCGCTAGCGATGAGGGCGATCTGCTTCCAGACGTGCCTTGCGAAGAGGACTCCGGAACGGAAGGGGGGTTCGTTCCTGGCCGCCGACGAGCTTCTCGGCGCGATCTCGAAAGCACCCGCCGACCTGAGGATAGAGGGCATGGCGAAGCATGCCATCGATATCATCCAGGCCAACAAGCAAGAGCTCACAAGTCTCCACGACCTAGAATGTCGTCAGAGGTTCTGGAGCAAGTCGGAAGTGGGCATTGAAGCCGCGGGCGCCAGACGCCAGATGGGTACTAGAATGGGAGAACAAGGGCAGCGGGCCCTTCATCGGGGCTCGTTTCTTCATGCGTGGGTTTAAAGGCCACGGCGACAATTTGGCCGCATTCGCCGGCGCCGCCACTCGATGGAGTCAGCGCGTTGGGAACGCCATTGCGGCTCGGCAAAGCGACTGGGCACTCTCTAGTTTCGACGTCAGCGCCGCTTTTGCAAAGTGCTTGACTTTCTAGGAGTTGTGAGGTCGGCCTGAAAGCGCTGCGCGCAGACTGCACTGCGCGCGCCACGACGCACGAGCCCAGTTGACCACGGACCTGAGTGCTCGCGTCGACGACGTGAAAGGCGGAGCCCCCAAGACAGTAGCCCTGGAGCTTCTGAAGCACTTGGAGAAGCGCGTTGGTGCGTGTGCGCAGGCGTGGACATTTTCGCGCGTTGGCATTGAAGATGTGACCAGAGCAAATAGCATTTACATGCGCCAGGAGAAGTACGTGGCCTCCCTCAGGGTGATCGGCAATAAGTTTTTTGCTGTGTTGAAAGACGAGCAGATCGTCAGCGATCAGGCGAAGAGCCACTACTCTATGCTCCTTGACGGTGTCTCCTGGATCTGCCTCGCAGTGCCACCATCGCCGCGGTGCGCGTGCAGGCGCCGCAGCCACGCGGGGCCTAACCGAGAGCGTAGCATTTGAAACGCTTGAACCTTGTCTTGCGTTGTGTCCGCTGGCGCAAGGTCGGCATCCTGTTCAGGGGGCTGCCAGGGCGCCTGCGGCCTGTTGGGATCACGGATGCAGCCTGCAGGGCGCTTCGGGACGAGTCGCCTGGACTTTTGTTCCCGCGGTTGCGCCCTCATCTCCAACGCGGATTGCGACTCGACGCCGGCATCTCCAGATTGGGCTTGCAACATCTTGGAGTTTCAATGCTGGCGCCAACGCCGAGTCGCACGTTCGACTTTCAGAAGCGAGCTGAATGGCCTGGTTGACACTCTGGAGATTCTCCAGGTGATCCAGATGTGTCTCCATCAGATGTACCATGGTTGCGAGACTACAGCCAGGAGCCTGGCGGGAGTTCTGGACGACGGACGCCTCCAGCCTCCTCTCGACGCAGCAGTTGACGCCGGGGGCGTTCGATTGCCTGGCTGCCACAGACGTGGGCGACCTCGTCGAGAGTATTATGAAGCTGCGCGTTCTTCCTCTGGGAGAAGTCCTGCAGTCTGGCACCCTGCGACGTCTTTACTGGGCGGGCGCGAGTGACATGCTGGCGGGCGGCCTCGCCAAGGGGTCAGTTCCTCGCGACCGGCTGATCCTGGTCAGCAACGCAGGCGAATCCCGCGCGGTGCACGCGACGGCCAGCGCGACCGTCGTGAACGGCCGCAAGCAGACATCTGGCAGCAGAGTGGTTCGCAATGCGTAAGACAATTGAAAAGTTTCTCTGCAAGACAACAGGCGACGGACATGTTGCTTCCTGGAGAGCCGCGCTCGCGCCGGGGGGTCTCTGGCGAACGCGACGGCCCTGCAGTGGGGGCGCGCAGGGTTGCGGGCGTAGAGAGTCGCCTGTAGCCAAGACCTGTCTAGGTCAGCCCTTGCATGGGGACATGTAGGGTCAGGCGCTAAACTGTGTCTGCCGAGGGGTGTGGTTCGTGGGAATAGACTGCTTGTGTAATGTTAGCCGGCGGCCAGTAGTCGCGAAATGGACTGCCCCGCGTGCCTCTCTTCCTTTCTCCTTCGGTCTCCCCTCCCCATCCTGCCTGTCGTGAGATGTCGCGAAACAGGCTGTGGCGAGGAGGTGCCGCGTGATCAATGTCAGTTGTGTGCGGCTGCGCCGTGGGCTTTTCCCTAGGTAACTGCCGGGGTAAAGCTAGGTTCGGCAAGAGAGCCTGCCGCGTGAGCATAGAGAAGTGCTGTCGCTCCAAATATGGCATCGCGGTACAGGTACCCGATTCTGGAAATCAGTGCAATTTTCCAGGCGCGGAGGGCTGGCGCTAAGCAGGAGGAGAGTGGACCGGCAGATCCACACCCCGATCCGTTCAGCGCGGAGGAGGAAGAGGGGGATGAGAAATTGAAGAGGACGGCGAACCGAAGAGCCAGAGACGTCTTAAATGCATTTCGGAGATCCTCTTGAGGCTTCTTGGGGGTCTCTTGGGAGCCTCTTGGAGGCCTCTTGGGCGCCTCTGGGGGCTGTCTGTGCGCCTCTTGGGGCGCTCTTGGGGCGCTCTTGGGGGCTGTAGGGGCGCTCTTGGGGCCATCTTGGAGGAGATCGATCAACGAAGGGGGGTTCCCTAATTAGCCTCCCCCCTCAGGAGCTCCAAACATCGCCTCTTGGGGCGCTCTTGGGGCGCTCTTGGAGTGCTCTTGGGCGCTCTTGGGGCCGTCTTGGGGCTCTCTTGGGCCTCTTGTGGGGCCCTCTTGGGCCATCTTGGAGCCATCTTGAGGCCTTGGATGGCCATCGGACGCGAAACGGGGAGAAAGCAAAAAACCTTGATTTTCTTTTCGGGGCCTCCTTGGGGAGCTCTTTGGCCACTTGGAGCCGTCTTGGGGCCGTCTTTGGGCCTCTTGGAACATCTTGGGAGCCATCTCGAGCGATCTTGCGCTATCTTGAGCCATCTTGGAGCGCATCTTGGGCTCTCTGACGCGCTCTTGAAGCCATCTTGGGGCCAAAAGAGCAGTCCGACCGCTCGCGAAACCCTCCGTCGAGGTCCAGGGGAGGGGATAGGGGGAGGGGTAAACCCCTCCCCAAGGGGGAAGAGGGAGGGGTGGAAGAAGATCTGTTCTGGACCACCTACGCCCAGAGGGCTGGTGGGATTCCGATCCCCTCCCTGCACACCTCTACTCCCTTTGCTATCCCCTACCTTTCTCCTCGCCCCTCTTCCCGCCTCGTGGGTGCCCGTGTGCTACTGCCCTCCCCAGGTTTGGCCACAGATGGAGATTGCGTACCTGAGAGTTCCGCACGGTAATCCTGCTGCCGCAGACTCAGAGGTCGGGGGTCGCTAAAGGTGTCCCTGGCCCAAGGTGTTCCCAGGATTTCCAAGGAGGTCCCCACGACCTCCAGAGCAAACTTTGCAAAGCCCAGCAGGCTCCAGGGGCTCGAACATGGAGCGAAACGCTGGGGACATCTTTGGCAACGCCCGAACAGGATCCAGACATTCCGACGGTCAGGCAGTACTGCTACTGCAACGGCATAGCGCCGTGCTCCAGCACCAGGCTCGCGCGGGGGTGGTTCTCGGTGGATCGGAATCGTTCCGCTGTAAGTTCTTGCCTTTTGCTTGGCATACACTTGATATGAGGAAAAGGCTCCTTTGCTCTTGCCTGTGGCATGCTCCTGAGGAAAGCCTCCTCGGAGGCCCTCTTCGCAACGGCTGTATTCGCCTCGAAATCCTGGTCAGCTCGCACCCTGGGAGAGGTCTGAGTAGTAGCTGTATCCGTACCTTGTGGCTCCTCAAACGCCACCGCAGGGTCCATCTCGGTCCTGTCGATCCGATCCGATGTTGGCTTCGGCCGTCCCGATTCCCATTCGGTTTCGATGTTCCGGCGGTCCGATGTGCTCCAGCTCTTGCGTGGCGCTGCTGTGCATCTTGGCGTGGCCGATCCGACTCGGTCTCGACTGCAGCCCGATCCAACCCGTCGGCGGCGCGCCCAGGCGGGAAGGCAGAAGGGGGGGGGTCCTTCTTAGCAGGCTCGCAGGCTCTCTGGCGTTCCGTGAATCTTCTGGAGCCTCCTCCGCAGACGCAGAGGGCTTCTCAGAAGGCAGGGGGGCCCGCCGCCTTCTGACAAGGCCGTGCCCCTCTCGGACACCTGGTGGTTTTTTTGGGGTCGTGGATCGGTTCTCCAGCGGCCGTTCGGGACGATGTGGCCCCCCCGAACGCTCTCGGAGAGGTGCAGCTCCTGGAAAGCACCCCAGGCCGGAACGAGTTCAGGAACTTACGAGAATGTCAAAAAATGTGGAATTCACCCCCCTCCGAATTTCCCCCCTCTGCCTTCCCCCCCTGGGGCGTGCGCCGCCAAATTCGAATTCCCGTTGCGATGCTTCGGTTGCCCTCAAGGGTTGTGGTGACCACTCCATGTGTGACCACTCCATGTGATGAGTCCGTGGGGAATTGGGGTCACGCGCGCGGTTTTGGGACTCGGGTCGTTCTCCGAGGACGTCTCGGGCGACCGGGGCCTCCAGGGTCCTACGACCGTGCCATGACGGACCGTGCGGTGAGGTCTCTTGGGGTTTCGAGTTCACCACCACACGGTTCTGACCCCCAATTCCGCTTTTTAAATTGAGCGACGGAAGGAAACGGGATTCGATTGTGCCGACATTCGCGCGAAATCTTCCGCGTAGGATCGTCGTGTATAGGGTCGTGCATCGGCGGTGAGGTCTCTGGGGATTCCGAGGTCAACGCGCGGTCCGTCACCATGCGATTTGGGGGCCCTCTGGATGTTGGCTGAACCGAACCTTCCTACCTTCCTGCGCAGCCTTCCTGCGATGGGACGACGAGATCCGAACCTTCCTGCGCAGCTTGGACAGCGACGCAGTGGGCGAGGAGGTCCGGGTAGCCACTCAACCACGCCAGTTCAATCACAACAACGCGAACGATTTACGATGGATCCAGGCCGCTCGGTGCACAGAGTAGTTGTCGTCATCTGAGGGGGCACTCGTTTCACAAGTCTGAGCCGACTATCTTCTTTGTCGAGGCTACGGCCTACACGCCATGCCCTACAGGGCACGGGCGTGTTCCCCAGTGGACCACGCACGGCTCCCGCGTTCCTCCCTTCCTTCTGGATGTTGAGTGAACTGGCTGCCGCCCGGCCTCCGTGGGCGCCCCTCTTGGCCCAAGCGCTTCCCTGGCGCACAGCGGGCTTCTGCTGGCCGGCCGGGAGCCCACGCGGGACCGGCCTCGAGCCTGTCCTCGAGGCACAGGTGCAGCCGGGAGGGGCAGGGGTGAGAGCGCGGCCAGGTGCACCCCTCGAGGGATCGTGGCCGTTCGGGCCAAAGATGTGGCCGGCACTGAGGCGATCGAGCCCGATGCCGGAAGACCTCCAGGAAGCCTCAGGCGGACCGGCTGCTGGACGGGGCGGGCCAGGGCTCCCCATCCCCCCGTGGACTCCCCTTGCTTTTGTTCAGAAGAAATGCAGAAAAAAACATGATGCTGGAGCCCTCTAGCGAAACGCTACGATGGACAGCTGCATAACCATAAACCTTTGAAGCTCCGCGCGGAGTTCTGGGATCGGCGTGGGGTATCAATAGGATTGGCAAGCCCAACGGCGATGATAATTCTGTGGATGCGCCCCTCAGAAACTGAGGTAGCAGTGCCAACCAAGGCAAAATAAGTAGCGGGCCCGTGGAGGCTCGGCGGTGGTACGTGCATTTGTTATCTCCGCGATAGTATGATCATGCGCTTTCGCAGGTCCGCGCGGATCTCTCGTGTCGTCGCTGGACCCCCCCCTGGTAGCCAGGTGCGGCCCCTGGCGCACGCAGCGCGCCAGCGGAGAGGGGGTCCAGCGCTGACCCAAGAGGTCCGCGCGGACCTCTCAAAGTCTGCGCGTATGCATTTTTTGCTTTTCTGTTCCCTTTCTTGTGCGCGGAACATGTCCGTATCCACGGCCTCGCGGGCCGGGCTTCTGGGCCGCGACCCCGTGGATACGTGGCGTTATTTCGCGGATGCCCCGCGCGGAAGGTATCCATGCGACCGCGTATCCACGGGAGCGCGCGCCCAAGAATCCAGACCGTGAGGGCGTGGACATGCATATGTTGGCCGCTCGTGATTCTGCCAGGTTCCCCATCACGGCCGCCACGACCCAGACGGAGACCACGACTACTTCGGGAACCACCGCCACGACCCAGACGGAGACTACCACCGCCACCGTGCCGCAGTCTGGCCGGCTGCTCGGGCTCCTGGGGGGGCAGCAAGTTGATGCTTGCCATCGCCCGCCGCCGCCGTTGTCATGCCGTTCGCTCTGCCGATGGCTCTCCCATTCGTCATCGACAGTTTGGAAAGGGTTGTAAGGTGGGCCTGAGGCAAAGGTTTGAGCCGATGTTCGTTAATTTCGTCAAGAAATATGGAAAAGTTGGTGGACTGTTCCAGGACACAGACATGTTGTTGTATGTTTTTTTTTGTACCACGTGTGCACGGAGTCATACGCGTTCGCATGAAACAATAGGAGCATCGAGTCGCGAAGCGGGGAGAAGCGAGACGGTGTGTGTGTGTGTGTGAGGGAGCATGGGATATAGCAATTCTGGCTCGATTCGAGCATTTGTTTTGCTCATTCCTCCGAAGGCTCGGAACCGGCCCGCGGCCGCGGCTGGCGCTGCCGCCCCTGCCGCCGGACGGTGATGGGCCGGTCGTGCGCGCCCTGATCATCGGCTGGGCCGCGGCCCAGATGGGGTGAACCCGAGGAGGAAGGAACAAAAACACGGCGAAGGAAAAGGCGCCCGCGCTTGGCACGAGGAGAGAGCCAGCGGAAGCTGGTCCGCGGCTAGCCTCAGGAGCTGGGGAGGACGAGCTTGAAGAGGAGCTCGCCGCCCTGGCAGACGATCTGGGGGTGCAAGCTCGCCCCCCAGCCAAGGAGAGAGGAACCCGAAGAGACCCTGGAACAGGAGGTCTCGGAGTAGCGGGATGGACTTGATGCGGGAGAAGCTCGCGTTCATTGCCGAGCGCGGGAGCGCCAGAAAAGGCAGGAAGTGGTTGTGCCGCCTCCCAGCCGAATGCGCTCTCGAGGCATCTTTCGCTGGGGCTTCACCGAGGACCCCAACGGCAGGGTCCGCATGCGGCCCCGCACCCATTTAGGCACGCCGCTCACGTTTCGCGGTCCCGTAGGGAGCGCCACCGAAGGCCCCAGTTGCAGGGTCAGCGCGGCGGCCCCTCTCCAATGTTGGCGCACATTTCGCAGGTGAGTGGCCCTATAAGGAGCTCCGCCGAATGTGGCAGGGCCCCATTTCGGCACGCCCCGTACACGTTTCGTGACCCCGCCCAGAGCTCCGCCGAAGTCCCCAGCAGCAGGGTCCACGTGGCGGCCCCGCACTCATGTAGGCGCACTTCTCACACGTTCCGTGGCCCCATAGGGACCTGAACCCCCTTTCGTCACTTGCGCCCGCATAGTTATGTTTGGGCACTTCGCCTTGATAATTTCAAGGGGGGGGGGCGAACAAAGAATGGCGAACGATCCGCCTAGGGGATCCGCCCAAGGGGGACCGCTCAGCACCCTCTCGGCAGCTCTGTGGCTGCAGCTTCTCGCACTCTTCGACGCGTTTTCCAGGGCCCACTCATGGTTGTTCACCGAGCTCCCGTGTCCCACATATCCCCTCGCGGCCGATTTCTCGAATGCGGCATCAGGACGAGCTAACCCACTGCCCCCGATAATAAATCCCCCCTTTCCCCCTCAATTTTTGATCCCGTGTCGATCGGATTTACGTTTGGAGAGGGCGCGGAGGCCGAACTTGATAATCCCCAGGGGCAGTTTCGAACCGAAGTTACTATCATCTCATGCTGACTAACGACAGCATCAAAAACGCTGATCATGGCAATGGTGGTCTCACCATTTCAGCTTCCTTCCGCAATCACGAGCGTGTGGCAGGGCTATGGGGTTCTCACCATCTCAGTTTTCCCAAGTCACGAATGTGCGGCAGGGCCATGGGATTCTCACTTTCTCACTTTCTCAGCCGTTCCCGAGTCAGGAACGCGTGACAGGGCCATCGGGACCGATTGGATTTTGAAGTTGCATGTGTTTTTCGAGCGGGCAGAGCATTGGAGTTACTTTTAGCGCATCCCTCACACGGTTCGTGGCCCCCCCTCCTCCCCCTTCTAGTCCCCTTCTTCTTCTTCCTCCGCCTCCTCCTCCTCCTCCTCCCGCCCGGCAACTGCCCCGGCTCGAGCTTCCCCGAGTCTCCGAGATTCCAAGCTTTCGAGCCTTTTCGAGGCGCCGAGCTGCGCCTCCCCCAGGGGCAACGATAGGGGGGGATCCGGCGTAGTTAAGGGGATGCATCGATTTCCAATCGCTCATTGATCGCAGAGAGTGGTTCGATAGCCCGAACCCGCCCAGGAACGTCCGGATTCACGATTGGGCGCCCATCGCCGATGCATCGGCGATGTATCGCTGATTCCAGGTCGATGTTTCCTCCCCAATGTCTATCCCCCCCGCGTCGTTGCCCCTGGGTGCGCCGCGAGCCTCGGCCATGTCTCAGGCCGCCGAGCGCGCCCGGGCGGTGACCCAGCAGGTCGCGGCCCTGCACGGGGTCGCGACCCAGAGCGCGAGCCCGAGCTTGAACGAACTTTTTGAGCGCATGGCCAAGCAGAACGAGGGGGTCCTCGACGAGCTGTCCTTCGTCGCGTTTGAGATCGCTACTGCCGAGATGCGCCAGTGTCAATCGAGTGCGCGCGGCACTGGCGCGGCAGGAGTGGCGTGTGCGTGTGTGTGTGTGTGTGTGTGTGTGTGTGTGTGTGTGTGTGTGTGTGTGTGGTGTGTGGTGTGTGGTGTGTGTGGTGTGTGGTGTGTGTGTGTGTGTGTGTGTGTGTGTGTGGTGTGTGTGTGTGTGTGTGTGTGTGTGGTGTGTGTGTGTGTGTGTGTGTGTGTGTGTGTGTGTGTGTGTGTGTGTGTGTGTGTGTGTGTGTGTGTGTGTGTGTGTGTGTGTGTGTGTGTGTGTGTGTGTGTGTGTGTGTGTGTGTGTGTGTGTGTGTGTGTGTGTGTGTGTGTGTGTGTGTGTGTGTGTGTGTGTGTGTTTTTTTTTTTTTTTTTTTTTTTTTTTTTTTTTTTTTTTTTTTTTTTTTTTTTTTTTTTCCCCCCCCTCTCTTTCCCCCTTCTTCTTCTTCTTCTTCTTCTTCTTCTTCTTCTCTCTCTCCAGGCGAGAGATGGTCTGCGACGGCGGTTTTCTCAAGAGCATCGGGCACGGGCGCATGTTCAACGAGAAGGGAAAGAGGCGCGTCGAGCTGGCGGTCGCGTTGTTCTACGAGACTTACTGCGAGAGAGACGCCCGCTTCTGCGACGTATTCGAGAATCGCGGGGAGCCCCCCGAGATCATCTCCTTGCTCATGCCGAGCTTCAATGCGAAGCTGTTCGAGCTGGCCGAAGGACATCGAGCTCGGCGCCGAGGGCGCCCGGCGCCTCAGCTTCGGCTCTTGCGCCGAGCGCGTCGGCAAGGCCCTCCCCGATATCGCCTCCGAGCTCCTCGACCTCCACGACCTCGTGCTGCCGACCAACGAGAGCTTCGAGCCCGTCGAGAAGATGGCCGAGGAGTTCTCCTCCGGCGTGCCAGGCGGCCAGCTCTTCAAGATGGCCCCTTGCAAGACCAAGCAATTCGTCAACTGGTGCCGCGACGACGGCGTGGTGCAGGGCGTTGACCACGCGCGAGCCGCCGCGCGAGCGGTCGTCAAGTGGCGCTGGTGTCTCACGCGCGCCTCTGACATGGCCTACGAGCTCCAGGAGCGGAACTGCGTGGTCAAGCGCTCCAAGCATGACTGCGCGAGCACCGACAGGCAGCTCGCCTTCGAGACAATGGCTCTCGACCAGCGCATCAAGCTGAATTTCGAAGAGGTCGCCGAGATCCCCGCCGACTACGACAAGATGGCCAAACGGCGCGAGCCCGAGAAGAGCCAGGCCGACGCGAAGGCCGAGCCAGAGGCCGACAAGTCGACGCCGATGGGCGCCTGGGAGCCGAGCGGCGGCGACCGGCGAGCGCCTGGCGCGCGGGCGTCCTGAGCCGAGCGCTCCCGTGCTTTTCGCTGCGAGGGTGCCAGGCGAGCGTCTCGACGCACGCGCTCGAGCCCCATCTGCTGTCAAGCTCCGAGCGAGCTTTCGAGCGCGCGCGAGTGGCGTGCCAAGCTGTGGGATACAGCGCCCCCTCTCGCCGAGTGATCCTCGATCAAGCATCAAGCAATCAAGCGGGCTCGATTTTCCATCCTCGGATCGAGGGCTCGAGATCTTGAGTGCGAGCATCTTCGAGCACCTTGGATCCTAGAGCCGTGCATCGCCAAGCTTGAACTCGGTGATCTCGGGTTCGCGATCCGAGGATCGAGGATCGAGCCTCGGCGAGCGTCGATCGTCGCCGTCGCCGCCGTCGGGCCCAGGCCGCCGTCGAGGAGGCTCGATCCTCGATCCTCGGATAGGGGGCCCGAGATCATGGTTCCGAGTGGAGTTGGGCGGCTTGGATCCTAGATCCGAGCGCCGCGCTCGGGCGCGGAGATCTCGGGTTCGCGATCCGAGGATCGAGGATCGAGCCTCGGCGATTGTCGATCACCCTCGTCGCCGTCTTTGGGCCCGAGCCGCCGCCGAGCGGGCTGGATTCTCGAATCGAGGATCGAGGGTCCGGGATCTTGGTTCCGAGCATCTTCGAGCGCCTAAGATCCTAGATCCGAGGATCGCCGCGCTTGGGCTCGCAGATCTCGGATCGAGGATCGAGCCTCGGCGATCGTTGATCTCCCTCGTCGCCGCCCTCGGGCCCAGACCACCGTCGCGGAGGCTCGGTCCTCGGATCAAGGATCCGAGATCTTGTTCCGAGCATCTTTGGGCGCCTTGGATCCTTGTTCCGAGGGTCGCCACGCTCGGACTCGAAGGTCTCAGGTTCGCGATTCGAGGATCGAGGATCGAGCCTCGGCGATCGTCGATCTCCAGCGTCGCCGTCCACGGGGCCAGACTACCATCAAGCGGGCTCGATCCTCGATCATCGGATCGAGGGTCCGAGATCTTGGTTCCGAGCATCTGCGAGCACCTCGGTTCCTAGATCCGAGGATCGCCAAGCTTGGGCTCGAGGATCCTGGGCCCTCGATCCGAGGATCGAGGGTCGAGCCTCGACGACTAGCGGTCACGCGCGCGCTCGCACGCAAACGCGCGCGCACGCAAACGCACAAACACACGCACGCGGACGCGCGCACACGCGCACATTCACAGACACAACAACA